GTCTGATGGAGCTAAGGCACTCAGCGCGGCTCGATACAAAAAGGCAACAATGCGACCGGCGTGCATACAGCACTGATCGTCCTGGACATTTGACACTGCACCAGAGAACTCACACGGGAGAGAAACCCTTCAAGTGTAGTGTGTGTGGGAAGGTGTTTGCACATTCATCTCTTGTAAAACACCAAAGAACACACACGGGAGAGAAACCCTTCAAGTGCAGTGTGTGTGGGAAGGCGTTTGCACATTCATCTCCTCTTGTAAAACACCAGAGAATACACACGGGAGAGAAACCCTTCAAGTGCAGTGTGTGTGGGAAGGCGTTTGCCCAGTCCTCTTCTCTTGTATCACACCAGAAAACACACACTGGGGAGAAACCCTTCAAGTGCAGTGTGTGTGGAAAGGCGTTTGCACTTTCATCTACTCTTGTAACACACCAGAGAAGACACACGGGAGAGAAACCCTTCAAGTGCAGTGTGTGTGGGAAGGCGTTTGCACAGTCATCTTCTCTTGTATCACACCAGAAAACACACACGGGAGAGAAACCCTTCAAGTGCAGTGTGTGTGGGATTGCGTTTGCACGTTCATCTACTCTTGTAACACACCAGAGAAGACACACGGGAGAGAAACCCTTCAATTGCAGTGTGTGTGGGAAGGATTTTGCACAGTCATTTTCTCTTGTATCACACCAGAAAACACACACGGGAGAGAAACCCTTCAAGTGCAGTGTGTGTGGGAAGGCGTTTGCACAGTCATCTACTCTTATAACACACCAGAGAGGACACACGGGAGAGAAACCCTTCAAGTGCAGTGTGTGTGGGAAGGCGTTTGGACTTTCATCCATTCTTGCAACACACCAGATAACACACACAGGGGAGAAACCCTTCCAGTGCAGTGTGTGTGGGAAGGCGTTTGCACATTCATCTACTCTTGTAAGACACCAGATAACACACACGGGAGAGAAACCCTTCAAGTGCAGTGTGTGCGGGAAGGTGTTTGCACGGTCATCGCATCTTCAAAGTCACCAGAGAACACACAAGCATCAGAAGATCCCCAAAGAGCGGAATCTGAAATCAGCTTGTGAAAGTCAAAGTGCCGCAATGAGCCCATCCCTCATGAAACAAGAACCGGAAGAAAATCCCAGCTTGGACACTTTTAAAGGTATCAAGGTGAAATATGAAGTGATGAAGGTGAAATGTGAAGAGGTGACATGTGAAGAAGTGATGGCGAAGAGTAAGGAAGTGAAGGTAAAATGTGAAGATTCAACTCCAAAATCGGACCTTCACATCGATGGAGGCAACGTGAAGCAGGAGGAGAATTCTCACTGTGAGGCAGAGCAAGGCAACTCCCAGCAGTTTGTGGAAGTGGAGGTGTGGGTAGACTTCCTCCGAGACAATACAAAGTCAAATGGAGACCCGGTAGATGTGTAAACCAGAGACGATGTCGCTCCAATAGATGCACCTTTGTCACATGCCTTTAAAGACAAGCATGCGAAGTTGAACACTCAATTCCTAGGTTCAACCTGCAGAGTAAGTGCGGTCAGTCTTTGTGGACCTGTGGGTTGGGTAGATCTCGAACCAGGAGCGAGAGCCAATAAGCTCCCAAGCATTCACTGTTATCATAATTGAATTTATATGGTGCTTGCTTCATTGTCTCGGCAATTCGGAGTTTTGTATCGTATCTTGTCTCAAACACTCGAAGAGCACAGCAAGAACATTTGAAAAAGTCATGAGAATTTTGTTTTATATTTTTATAATTTTCTTGTTTCCCTTCTTCGTGACTTCACCAAAAGAACCAATAATATTTAGAAACATCTATGTTATGAATCTACACATTCACAGGAAGACTATTGTGTTGAAATCTTTCTTTTGATCACAATCTTGCCCGCGAATGTATTGAAGCCTTAGCCAATTGATAAGCATTTGCTGAAGCAGGCACACTGCCACACACCATTGTTCCAAGACATTTCGTTAATTGCATAATCTTACCAATGAATTCATTGAGGTTTACTTTTGCTTTCGGAACATGTTTATTTATTGCTATTTGCATGAATATTGTCACATTAATTTTTAAGGATTCATCTTCTTTGGTTCTTTCGGTAAAGTCACGTAGAATGAGAATAAAATAATAAATTGATAAAATAAAATAATAATATTCTCACGACGTTTCCGCCACAACACAAGTGGCCTTCATCAGACAGTCTCGTCCCCTTCACCTGATGAAGGCCGCTTGTGTTGTGGCCGAAACGTCGTGAGAATATTATTGTGTTATTTTATTTTATCAATTTATTATTTTATTCTCATTCTACGTGACTTTACCGAAAGAACCAAAGAAGATGAATCCTTGCAGTCACGAAAGCTTTAAATCGAAATTTTTAAGGACTTTTTCCCATCGCCGTGAATGCTCGCTGTCCTCTGAGGAATTAACCGATTGTTCTGTTACCCAGGTTAAGAAACGTAATCATTGAGGGTTAAATGTACGGATCAATGAGGAGAACATCTCCAGGAGTACTGTGTTGACATTCCTAGCATAAGAGTTTGCATATTAGGGTGTTATGTTTTTGTTAAGAGATTAAAGTTGCTTAACACAGAAGTGTCTGAGTGGTGCCTTCCTAAGTTCATGCGTAATAATCTTAATTATAAGAACTGTATCCTGCGGTGAGATTTGAATCTGAGACCTGACATAAACACACTAAGACATAATCAGTAAAAGTTAAAGCGAGAATCATTGTATTATCCCGATTGATAATACAACCCTAGACAACGAGGCAGAGCATAATTATCATAATTAACTACATTAGCATAATCACATGCACTTGCAAAACGTAATGCAATTACACCCCCCAATTAACATAACAATATGAATGATTACATAAATTACCATCATTACGAGAAAGAATGGTGATCCAATCTCCGACCCCCAGGAACAGGTTTCCAGATTTGCTGAGCATTTCTGAGGTACTGGGAGAGGGGGAATCCCTCAGCCTGGAAAACATTATGGAACAAAGTGGGGATGACCCTGCTGAGGCTGCAGTGCCTCAAATATTGGAGGAGGAAATCACCCCCTGTGAGTGGCTGGCTGAGGCGCCATCCGTTGAAGATGTACTGAAGGTGATCCCGAGTCTGAGACCAGGAAAGGCACCGGGCAGAGATGAGCTCCCAAGCGACCTGCCCTGCCGACCCACACTGACACGGGTAGATTAACTTCATTCTCCGGAGAATAAATCGCCAGGAGACATTAAACCTTGTCGTGTTGTCTCTGCGGATACGTAGAGGGTTGCGTGGTGTGGTGGGCCTGCGCACTGTGGTGTCCGGTGTTTTCGCACGAGCGTGTGTTCTGCCCGCGTGGATGCTCTCCCCACTGTGCAGCTCGTGATTGGTGTGTACGAAATGGGCACAGTGGCGCATTCGCAAGGTGGTTAGTACAGCCATTTAAATAATGTCACGAGGGGCAGCAGCGAGGGGAGGAGAGTCGGAGAACGGTGGGTCACAGGAGAACGGTGGGTCACAGGGGAACGGTGAGTCACAGGAGAACGGTGAGTCACAGGAGAACGGTGAGTCAGGAGAACGGTGAGTCACAGGAGAACGGCGGGTCACAGGAGAACGGCGGGTCACAGGAGAACGGTGAGTCACAGGAGAACGGCGGGTCACAGGAGAACGGTGAGTCACCGGAGAACGGTGAGTCACAGGAGAACGGTGAGTCACAGGAGAACGGCGGGTCACAGGGGAACGGTGAGTCACAGGAGAACGGCGGGTCACAGGAGAACGGTGAGTCACAGGAGAACGGTGGGTCACCGGAGAACGGTGAGTCACAGGAGAACGGCGAGTCACAGGAGAACGGTGAGTCACAGGAGAACGGTGGGTCACAGGAGAACGGTGGGTCACAGGGGAACGGTGAGTCACAGGGGAACGGTGAGTCACAGGAGAACGGTGAGTCACAGGAGAACGGTGAGTCACAGGAGAACGGTGAGTCACAGGGGAACGGTGAGTCACAGGAGAACGGTGAGTCACAGGAGAACGGTGAGTCACAGGAGAACGGCGGGTCACAGGAGAACGGTGGGTCACAGGAGAACGGTGAGTCACAGGAGAACGGTGGGTCACAGGAGAACGGTGAGTCACAGGAGAACGGTGAGTCACAGGAGAACGGTGAGTCACAGGAGAACGGTGAGTCACAGGAGAACGGGGGGCGGGGGGCAGCCTCCCCAACAAGATCTTCTCTCAAAACTGCTCTCGAGGAGTTGTACACCCCTAGCTGCCACTGCTATTCATTGGTGTAAAATGAAATAAAAGTTTCGCTCCGAATGACGCTGCAATGTATTCTGTATTTTGATTTAGCGTGCTGATCTTAAAGGTGCATTGAAAAATGTGATACTCCGACTGATGCTTCTGTTGTTGTGGAGTAACTCATGCAGCCAGCTATGGCTCTCGGATTTGGTGTTACATGTTATTTATGTAGTTTATTGTAAAAATTCGGTCACAGTCCCTGTGTTCACTGTTTCGTTGCAATTATGGCTTTATTTTTTTGGTGATTTCGAAAAGTTTTTTGGTTTGGATATGTTTGTTTTGTTGTAGTACGGAGATAAACTGATGGCCTTAATCTAAGTTTTCTTGTGGTTGTTGTTGTTTGACTTGCATCCCACTGGGAATATTTTTACACAGCGTTGGTGTACGGTGCTTTTTCAGGAATATTTTGCTGCTTTTTTTCATGGATTTTCTGTTTGCACAATCACATAGTCACTTTAAGATGTTTTTTTCTTGTTCGTGTTTTTGTTTTATGTTTGTTGTGGTTGCACCCGATTCAAGAGCCGAATGGCTCACAGGGCTATACCAAAATAAATAAACTGAAACTGTGTTACTGCGGGAGGGGTGACGTCGCTCTCGGCATGACGTACAACGTCCGTGACGTCACGCCACCCTCAACAAGAGAGATGCCGTGGGCTTCGTCGCCCGATTGTTTAGACGCGTGGGTGACGTCTTTCGTCGGGGACGTGAAGGAAGCGTGACGTCATTTCAAGTGAAAAGGTGGGGAGACGTCACTTCCGAGAGTAACACGGGGGAAGATGACGTCACGCTCAGAACCAGAACTCTCGACTCGGCTACAACGGAGACTCCGTGACTCGGGGTAAGCGAGAGACGGACACAGAGATACAGAGAGACAGAGATACAGAGAGACAGAGATACAGAGAGACAGAGACACAGAGAGACAGAGACACAGAGAGACGGACACAGAGAGACAGAGATACAGAGACAGAGAGACAGACACAGAGAGACAGACACAGAGATAGAAAGACAGAGACACAGAGAGACACAGAGACACAGAGACAACCAGAGACAGAGACACAGAGATACAGAGATACAGAGAGACAGAAACAAAGAGACACAGAGACAGAGAGACAGACACACAGAGAGACAGACACAGAGAGACAGACACAGAGAGACAGAGACACACAGAGACAGACACACAGAGAGGCAGACACACAGAGAGACAGACACACAGAGACAGAAAGACAGAGACACAGAGACAGACACAGAGACACACAGAGACAGAGACACACAGAGACAGAGACACACAGAGACAGAGACACAGACAGAGACACAGAAAGAGACACAGAGACACAGACAGACAGAGACATAGAGAGACAGAGACACAGACACAAAGAGACAGAGACGCAGAGACACAGAGAGACAGGGACACAGACACGGAGACATAGAGAGACAGAGACAGAGACACAGAGACACAGAGACAGAGACACAGAGACAGAGACACAGAGACAGACACAGAGACAGACACAGAGACAGACACAGAGACAAACACAGAGACAGACACAGAGACAGACACAGAGACAGACACAGAGACACAGACAGAAACACAGAGACAGACACAGAGACAGAGACAGACAGAGAGACAGAGACACAGAGAGACAGAGACACAGAGAGACAGAGACACAGACACTGAGACACAGAGAGACAGAGACACAGAGAGACAGAGACAGACACAGAGACAGACAATGAACTGCCCATATAGGACTCACCACTGTGATCTCTACATTGGGTCAAACTTAACATCTCTTAATGTTCGACGGCTTGTGCACCAGATCTTATTTATTCACGATGTACTTACAAAAAAATCCGCAGACTACCTGCTGGATCTCCTCTCTGTTTCAAAGAACAAATTTGACCTCAGGTATTCGCTCATTTACCAGCTTCACATTCCCTATTGCCGTACAAAAACTGGAGGAATGGCCTTTGCTATTGATGCCCCCAGGGTCTGGAATGCTATTGCCAATAAACTGCAACTTGAATCGCTACCAATGAGATCTTCTCTCAAAACTGATCGAGAGGAGTTGTACACCCCTAGCTGCCACTGCTATTCATTGGCGTAAAATAAAATGTTTCACTCCGGATGACGCTGCAAAGTATCTGTATTTTGATTTAGCGTGCTGATCTTAAAGGTGCATTGAAAAATGTGATACTCTGACTGATGCTTCTGTTGTTGTGGAGTAACTCATGCAGCCAGCTATGGCTCTAGGATTTGGTGTTACATGTTATTTATGTAGTTTATTGTAAAAATCGGTCAGTCCCTATGATCACTGTTACGTTGCAATTATGGCATTATTTTTTGGTGGTTTCGAAAACGTTTTTTGGTTTTGACGTTTGTTTTGTTGTAGTACAGAGTTAGACTGATGACCTTAATCTAAGTTTTCTTGTGGTTGTTGTTGTTTGACTTGCATCCCACTGGGATTTTTTGCACACAGCGTTGGTGTACGGTGCTTTTTTCAGGAATATTTTTCGGGTTTTTTTAATGGATTTCCTGTTTGCACAGTCACATAGTCACTTTAAGATGTTTTCTTGTTCGTGTTTTTGTTTTTTGTTTGTAGTGGTTGCACCCAATGCAAGAGCCGAATGACTCACAGGGCCATACCAAAATAAATAAACTGAAGTAAAATAAAACTGAAAAAAAAATTCCCTCCCTTCTCTACACTTGCGAAACGTGGACCCCCCTAATGGAACATCTTCGCCGGTTATAAACATTTAGGCTGGCCTGCCTACGATCCGTCTTGGGTTTAACCAGGCTGGATTGTGTGAGGAGCTCACAAATCCTTGAAAGATCTGGACAAAGTCCCATCGGTGAGCTCCGGCAGGCAAGGCTGCGTTGGCTGAGTCATGTAGCCTGCATGCCCAGTCACCACATGCCTAAACAGCTTTTGTTCGGTGGATAGAGGGGGCTAAATGGGCACGGCATGGGCTAGAGAAGAGATGGAGTGATGTGGTACAGGAGGACGTGGAACTGAGTGGACTTGCCGATGACTGGTACCAGCGGTGTCAAGATCGGCCTCTGTGGAGAAGGCTCGTGAAGGACGCTACCGGGCAGTTGGAGGCAGTCGCCTTCCAACAACAACAGAGTAGCGAATGACGGTTGTTGTTGTGTGTGGGTGTAGTGTGCCATGTGTTTTTTGCACAATGCTGTACGCATGTTGTGTGTGTATTGTGTAGTTGTAATGTGCTGTGGCTGTTGTGTGTGTATGTTGTGTGTGTTTTAGTATGGGTCTCTGTTGGTTTCTTTTGATCTCTATGAGTATGGGTCTCTGTGGGTCTGTATGGGTCTATGTGGGTCTCTGTGGGTCTCTGTGGGTCTCTAGAAGTCTGTAGAAACACACGTTTAGAGTATTTGGCTTCTGCTATAAATTTCCACATGATGATGATGGTGGTGATGTCAGACACTTGGTTGAGCTGCTGTCATTGCAGGTAATAGGCCAGGCCCCTTCTGACAAAAGTGCTACACCGTAGCGAGTCCTTACCTGGTAAAATAAAAAAAAATAGTTTCGTTTTTATAGATTTGAAGCTTTCGTGACTGCAAGGATCCATACTCTTTGGTTCAATTCGGTAAAGTCACGTAGGTAAAAAATAAAACAAAAATCACGACGTTTCGGCCACAACACAAGTGGCCTTCATCAGGTGAAGTGACCAAACTGTCCAGCGGAGAGCGTTCGGAGTGAAGAAAGCCAAGCGCAGGTCACCTCTTTTAAGCTGTGAGGGGGTAAACAGAAAACGCCTGGACAAAGGAAATTAGCATAAAAAGTACTACTGTGAAAGCTTGGAATTAGCATAAAATTATATTACACCACCTTGGGAGTTTGGAATGCCACTACTTGAATAAATATACTGTACCATTTAAAATTAGTTTAATGTTTGGTTCGATTTAGAACATCTTTCCAATGGTTGCTTAATTTGAAACCATCTTCTCGGTTGAAATTGTGTCTGTGTTTGTAAATCTGAATTGCCTCGTGAACAAATCTCTGATAAAAACCCGTGGGTTTGCAGAGGACCTTGGTATCAGAGAAAACTATATCGTGGCAACCCACAGCGTTGTAACAGTGATCAGCTACGGCAGAAGAATTCGTTCTGCCGTGTTTCAAATCTGATTTGAGCTCGCGAATTTGGTCAGAAACATGTCGTTTCGTCTCCCCGATATAGCAGTCACCACAGGTGCAGATCAATTTGTAAACCCCGGGGTACTGTAAGTCAGGAATGACATCCTTCACGGAAGGGATCAGGTCACGGATTTTGTGTACTGTATTGAACCGGACCAGGATCTTGTGTTTGTTTAGAATTTTGGAGATCTTTTTAGTAACGCCTGCTATATATGGTAGTGTGATGGTTTTGATCGGAGTATCAAGTGGTTGTTTCTGTATGGAGGGAGAAACAGCTTGGCGGATGGTACGGTCAGAGTATCCATTCCTTTTGAGGGCCAGATGTACATGTTTTAATTCACTGGTCAGTGGCGTTGGTCCGAAATGCAATGAGCCCTGTGGTATAACGTTTTGATGAGAGAATTATTTTGCGTCGGGTGGTGGTGGGAATCAGGTTTCAAGTAGGAATCTGTGTGGGTGGGTTTCCTGTAGACAGAATGTCCCAATGAGCCATCAGGTCTCCTCTCAAACAACATCCAAGAATGGCAGCTTGCCATCTTTCTCCACTTCCATGGTGAATTTGTTGGCGGGGTGTCTGGAATTAATGTGGTCTAGGAAAAGGTTCAAAGCTGTGAGGCCATGTGGCCAAATGACGAAAGTGTCGTCTACATATCTCTTCCACAGGGAAGCTCTGAGGGTGGAAGTCTGGATGGCGTCTGATTCAAATTTCTCCATGAAAATATTGGCTATCACTGGTGACAAGGGGGAACCCATGGGGGTACCCTCATTTTGTTTGTAGAAGGTGCCATTCCAAGTAAAGTAGGTATTGTTGAGGCAGTGCCTAACCAGTGCAGGTGTATCGGGATCTAGTCCATGTTGGACCAAATTTTCAATTATTTCAATGGTATCAGGTACTGGGACCTTGGTGAACAGAGAGACCACATCGAAGCTGACAAGGATATCGTCAGGGGACGGTACAAAGTACTCAGCCCAATTGGTCTCTATGGTCAAAGACTTTGTACTATCCGCTGACGATATTCTTGTCAGATTCGATGTGGTCTCTCTGTTCACCAAGGTCCCAGTACCTGAAACCATTGAAATAATGGAAAATTTGGTCCAACATGGACTAGACCCCGATACACCTGCACTGGTTAGGCACTGCCTCAACAATACCTACTTTACTTGGAATGGCACCTTCTACAAACAAAATGAGGGTACCCCCATGGGTTCCCCCTTGTCACCAGTGATAGCCAATATTTTCATGGAGAAATTTGAATCAGACGCCATCCAGACATCCACCCTCAGACCTTCCCTGTGGAAGAGATATGTAGACGACACTTTCATCATTTGGCCACATGGCCTCCCAGCTTTGAACCTTTTCCTAGACCACATTAATTCCAGATACCCCGCCATCATATTCACCATGGAAGTGGAGAAAGATGGCAAGCTGCCATTCTTGGATGTTCTGTTTGAGAGGAGACCTGATGGCTCATTGGGACATTCTGTCCATGGGTTCCCCCTTGTCACCAGTGATAGCCAATATTTTCATGGAGAAATTTGAATCAGACACCATCCAGACTTCCACCCTCAGACCTTCCCTGTGGAAGAGATATGTAGACGACACTTTCATCATTTGGCCACATGGCCTCCATTTGAACCTTTTCCTAGACCACATTAATTCCAGACACCCCGCCATCAAATTCACCATGGAAGTGGAGAAAGATGGCAAGCTGCCATTCTTGGATGTTGTTTGAGAGGAGACCTGATGGCTCATTGGGACATTCTGTCTACAGGAAACCCACCCACACAGATTCCTACTTGAAACCTGATTCCCACCACCACCCGACGCAAAATAATTATCTCATCAAAACGTTATACGACAGGGCTCATTGCATTTCGGACCAACGCCACTGACCAGTGAATTAAAACATGTACATCTGGCCCTCAAAAGAATGGCTACTCTGACCGTACCATCCGCCAAGCTGTTTCTCCCTCCATACAGAAACAACCACTTGATACTCCGATTAAAACCATCACACTACCATATATAGCAGGCGTTACTAAAAAGAGCTCCAAAATTCTAAACAAACACAAGATCCTGGTCCGGTTCAATACAGTACACAAAATCCGTGACCTGATCCCTTCCGTGAAGGATGTCATTCCTGACTTACAGTACCCCGGGGTTTACAAATTGATCTGCACCTGTGGTGACTGCTATATCGGGGAGACGAAACGACATGTCTCTGACCGAATTTGCGAGCAAAAATCAGATTTGAAACACGGCAGAACGAATTCTTCTGCCGTAGCTGATCACTGTTACAACGCTGTGGGTTACCACGATTTAGTTTTCTCCGATACCAAGGTCCTCTGCAAACCCACGGGTTTTTATCAGAGATTTGTTCACGAGGCAACTCAGATTTACAAACACAGACACAATTTCAACCGAGAAGATGGTTTCAAATTAAGCAACCATTGGAAAGATGTTCTAAATCGAACCAAACATTAAACTAATTTTAAATGGTACAGTATATTTATTCAAGTAGTGGCATTCCAAACTCCCAAGGTGGTGTAATATAATTTTATGCTAATTCCAAGCTTTCACAGTAGTACTTTTTATGCTAATTTCCTTTGTCCAGGCATTTTCTGTTTACCCCCTCACAGCTTAAAAGAGGTGACCTGCGCTTGGCTTTCTTCACTCCGAACGCTCTCCGCTGGACAGTTTGGTCACTTCACCTGATGAAGGCCACTTGTGTTGTGGCTGAAACGTCGTGATTTTTTGTTGTTTTAATTTTTACCTACGTGACTTTACCGAATAGAACCAAAGAGTATGTTTAGTTTTTATAGTGTAGAGAAAGGGCAGCTGTGAAGATAATTTTCAGCGTCGATTTTAAAATGTGCCCAGCCCCCAGTGACTTCCTCAAAATCAGAATGTTTTTTTTATTCATACTGGGGACAAATCCGGTGAGCTATAAAGCTCTTTGTTAACAGATGTCCAGCAGTTGTCATGCTAATGCCCATCGTTCTTTCGTTGGTAGGGCAACTCCGTCGCTGGGCCGTTACTCCTCATCCATCGCCGGGCAGCTCCTCCGTTGCTAGGCAACTCCTCCGTCGCTAATCAACTCCTCTGTTGCTAGGCAACTCCTCCATTGCTAGACAACTCCTCCGTTGCTCGGCAACTCCTCCGTTGCTAGGCAACTCCTCCATCTCTAATCAACTCCTCTGTTGCTAGGCAACTACTCCGTTGCTAGGAAACTCCTCCTCCACCACCGTTGTCACCCCTCAGTTCTACCGGATGGCCACCACCACCCACCCCACCCAACCGATGGAGCGTCCAGCCGCCAACGCAGCCACCGCCGACGCTGCCGACGACCGCCACCGTCCGGGCACCAAGCGCCACCTCTGCGCCCTATGCCCGTACGGCACGGACCGCGCCGGGAGCCTCCGGAACCACGAGCGGACCCACACGGGGGAGCGGCCCTACGCCTGCCCGTCCTGCGGCAAGGCCTTCGCCGAGTCCGGCACCCTCCGCAAGCACCGCAGGACCCACACGGGGGAGCGGCCGCACGCCTGCCCACGGTGCGGCAAGGCCTACGCCGAGGCCGGCCACCTGCGGCGCCACCTGCGGTCCCACACCGGGGAGAAGCCCTTCCCCTGCCCGGACTGCGGCAAGGCCTTCGCTGAGTCGGGCACCCTCCGGAACCACCGCAGGACGCACGGCGGCGAGCGGCCCTACCCCTGCGGCGAGTGCGGCCGTCGGTTCGCGACGTCGGGCGACCTGGCCCGCCACGGCAGGACGCACACGGGGGAGAGGCCCCACCGCTGCGGCGACTGCGGCCGGTCGTTCGCCACCTCGGGCCACCTGCGCGGCCACCGCCGGACCCACACGGGCGAGCGGCCCTACAAGTGCGCGGCGTGCGGGGCCGCCTTCGCCGAGTCCGGCGCTCTCCACCGCCACCGGAGGACCCACACGGGGGAGCGGCCGTACGCCTGCGACGACTGCGGCCGCGGTTTCGCCGAGGCCGGCTGCCTTCGGAGGCATCGGAGGACCCACACGGGCGAGCGGCCGTACGCCTGCGCCGACTGCGGCCGCTCGTTCGGCCAGTCGGGGGACCTCCGCGGCCACCGGCGGACCCACGCGGGCGAGCGGCCGTTCGCCTGCGCCGACTGCGGGCGGGGCTTCGTCTGGCCGGGCGACCTGCGCAGCCACCGCCGGACCCACGCGGGCGAGCGGCCGTTCGGCTGCGCCGACTGCGGCAGGGCGTTCGCCCACCCGGCCACGCTCAAGAAGCACCGGGAGGTTCACCGCCGGGAGGCCGCGGTTAACGGCTGTGGGGGGGAGGGGATGGAAGAGGGGGGGGAGGGGATGGAAGAGGGGGAGGAGGTGGAGACTGAGGAGGGGGAGGAGACGGAGGGGGAGGAGGAGACGGAATGCCGGGGGAGATCCGCCGTGGCAGAAACGGTCGCGTCGTCGGTAGCGGCATCATCTGCGGCGGCTTCGTCGTCGGTAGCGGCTTCGTCGTCGGTAGCGGCGGTCAAAAGATGCAGCTCTGAACTCTGGCCGGGTGAAGAGGCAGCACTGCCGGCATCCGAGGGCCATGGATGCGAGCGTCCCAACTTTGGATTCTCCGTCGTCAAGCAGGAGACAGGAGAGGAGAGCCCCGGCAACCACGATGGCGACGGTCGCCACGGAGACGGCGGCGACGACGGTCACCATGGAGACAGGCCCTTGTTGATCGTGAAGCAGGAGAGAAGAGACGGCGTCCACGATGATGTTGATGAAGATGTTGATGAAGATGGTGTTGTTGATCGTCATCATGAGGTCTACACAAGTGCTGTTAAGGTGGAGGTGGAAGATGAGGAAGATGAGGAGGATGAGGAGGTGGAAGATGAGGATATGATCAGGAGAAAGATTCCAGGTGCCATGAAGGTGGAGGGAAAATTATAAAAACAAAATGAGTTTGCTGCTTTTTAGTCATGGAAACATTCCCTGAGGCAAGTTTTCCAGAATTGCTAACTCAAGATCGAGTTTCGGGGACAACGCTCTCTGGGGTTATTTGAAGGTATTTGGCCTACTCCTCCACGCTGACGAGATGTACGTCGGACAGGAGTGGGGCCGTAAACCCACACTTCATTGTCATCATCGGCTTCTTAACTGTGCAACGCCCAGTTGTACGGTTGAGAACACGTCGGGGTTGCGGCTGACGCAGCGGCCCCTCGGTTTTCGATGCCATTGATTAACGGATATTACAGGCTGTTTTAAAGAGATAGACCCGATTTGAAATCGCTATATCTCTGCAACCACGAACCGCCCATGAATGAAACTCTTACCACTTGGAAGGGCGGGGCATACAGAGGGTGGGGCATAGAGAGGGCGGGGCATATAGTTTCAAATGAATACTGCTTGATGCCTCTCCCAGCGCACAAACAGCCCATAGACTCAGTCATTAGCAAGACACACTGCCTCAACGTAATAACTCATTAAACCGTTTATAACTTTTCGTGAAATATACTGCTTTGAAATTGGGTCCATCTTTTTAATACACCCTGTATTTCGATTGACGGATCCGCCTCCCCGTTGTATCCCATTGACGAGACATTTTCGATTGACCCACTGTGTTACGATATCGCCCTCCCGCGTGGGTGGGGGGGGGGGGGGCGCCATATTCGTGCCAATCAGAGAGGCTCCCGAGTGGTCGACTTGGCAGACCTCGGCCAGTCACCCGACGACGCCTTTTTACAATCGTTTTGAGAGCAGCCGTGCTGCTAGCTTCCCCATCAACCCCTTAAGCCATCCATCTCTTTATCCTGAGCTAAGCGTTTCTTTTACGTTTGTTTCACGTGCACATCGAGCTAAAATTCCACTATAGTGCACCGAAGAATACAAAAAAAAGCCATCGCTCAGCGGTAATGACGTTCAAGTGTGAGAACGCCGGAGATGTAGCGCTCGCATCCGACTGTTCAGGTGCTCTGCCCGTGCCTTCACGCGCGCGATCGATCCGTTGAACACGTCGTGTGCCTGTGGGGGGAAAAGGCCCCGTTATTTGTCCGTCGTTTCGTTAAACAGCGGTTCGCTCGGTTCACGCTAATAATTGGTTCCACGTTCATTGAAATTATCGTTTATGGAATATAGGAAATGCAAGTTAACGGGCTACATTTGTTCCAAGACGATCAAAAGTTAACCTTTATCACCCGAGATAAAAGATAGTTTATAATATTTATACAGAGCAATTTCAATAAATAAACATAGGAACATATTAAAGCATTAAAATTGATACAAAACACGGATAAATAAATTCATAAAGAGCATGAAAAGGTGCATAGAGCATGAAATGAAAATTCCTAGGCTACGAAGATGGATGGCTTAAGGGGTTGATGGAGAAGTTGGGGTGGGATGAAAGGTACTCATGGAAGGAGAGTCTCCTTCCATGAGTACCTCTGGAGGTTCCGGGGTGGTGGAGGTCGAGGGATCATTAGAGCAAAAGTTTTACAGGACTGAGGATCAGTGTGGAAGAGACGAAGACGATGGTGTTTGGAAGCAAACGTATTGAGAATGAAATAATGACAGGAAACCAAAAGACAATGTACAACAATGTGACTACTTGGGAAGCATATTGACCTGGGACAATAATTGTACGAAGGACATATGAGCAAGCAAGGATCACGAAGGCGAAAAGAGTAATGGCAGGACGTAACAACATACACGGAGGGCAAGAAAATTAGCTACAAAAAAAAACCAAGCTGAGCGTGTTAAAAGCGTGCGTGTTTTTTAGCACAGCCTTTGTTATGCCTGCGGAACGCGGACGCTAAAAAAAGACCGACGGGGACAAAATACCGGCATCTGAAATGTACTGCCATAGGAGGATGCCGCATCATAGTTGGACACGAGAGAAAGGCTGAACATAGAATACCTAACCCACACAAAATCCATAACATAACAGAAGAACGTAAAAGCAGGCTTGATTGCAAGTGGTAATGAGAAGGAAACTGAGTTTGCTTGGGCCCCTCACACGCACGCAGGATGGAGAACGACAGGAAGGTAAACACGTCAATGATGGGAATAATGGAGGGAAGTAGAAGAACAGGGAATATCCTGGAGGGAATGGCTGGATGGCAGAAGAGGTTGGTGCCGGAGAGATGTCGCACAGCCTCGGCACGTTGGCACAGGAAAGAGGGAAGTGGAACCAAGTTACAAAAGTTGCAGTGGGCACTGAGGGGCTTTCTGCCCATGGAGTTTGATTGATTGAGTCAACAGAGCTCTTTCCATAAGCAACGCACATCAATCATTCAAAAGCACGCAGGCAGCTGCTCTCAAAACGCTCATCGCCGATTGACCGACGTCTGCCGAGTCGTCTCCTTCGGAGGCCCTCCAATTGGCATGCAGTCGGCGCGTCCGCGTGACGTCGTCAACGTGCCGTCAATCGAAACTGCACCTTGGTAGAAACAATGGCGCCCTACGGGAGGTGGATCATTCACCGAAATGATATTCGCCGCCTCTCGCCCACGTTGCACCCATCTGTCACCCTCATTCACCATCGCACACCACCTTATTCCTCCTTCGCTACCCCTGCAACATCAGCAGCTCCATTCCCAGCCCCTGTCCCTCCACCCCTTCCGTCACCTCCCTCGATGACGGCCGCTCCACCCCACCCGCTGCTCCCCGTCGGCTTGCATTGCAAAGCTCCCTGGAAAGGGTGCTGGATAAATCATAAGTAGAATGGAATTGCAATCCGTGAGACCGCTTGATCGGCTGCACGTCCGCTCACCTCGTCCCTGCTAGGCACCATCGCTCACATTTTAACATCGAGCCGTCAATAGCTCTGCGATGCTTTGTTTTTTCCTTGCGCTCACCACCTGCACTGGCGGTCACCTGCGCCCGTCGTCACGAGCACCACCAGCAACTACGCTTGCTGCTCGTGATACTGCTGCTACCGATGCTGCTATGAAGAGTCACCGCATGCTGATCTCCAACGTAGAGCTCGTCGGCACGCTTACACAAGAGAGAAACACGACGATGGGACCGGGAGGATGGCCGGCGCATGCACAAGTTGTACAGTATCTCTATGCCCCCCTGCCCCCCCCCCCTCCCCCAGAGCAGAGTTCAGCCGAGTCGAAAATGAGAATCGAAAGTGATTCAATCGGGTCACTGGTGTTGGCCACGAGCAAGGTTCTGGAGTTGGGAGTCGCTACCGCGGCTCGTAGCGGTCAGTGCAGCGTAGGGCTAACTGCTACACACCTTGCGCTCAATGGTGTTTCCAAGTTGAATATGCCGTAACGAGGTATATATTTACACAATTACACTACTTTGACCTTAATAGGTAAGGCCCATTGAGCTCTGTGGCTCTCTTTCAGCAGCGACTTGGCCGCAAATGACAGCTCAACAAAGTAAGTGGCTTATCACGTGCGAAATGTATCACAGCCAAATACTCTGGAAGCACGTTTCTAAATGAAGAGGGGGAAACCCAGAGGATCCGGATAAAGTTCCATGCGACTACAAGGGATGGGGGGGGGGGGGGGAACGTGCAAACTCCAAACATAGAACGGGCGTCAGGGGTCGGGATTGAACCCACGACCTCCCGTATACCGGGCGAGGCAGTTAACATCCCGCCACCGTGGCGCGTTGTGCCTTTTCAGCAAACAGTTCTCGATGTGAGTGCGAAACGACGTACACATCGGAGAACCCCCTGGACACCGTACAGATATAAAACTGGCTTAAGCCCAGCTATTGATACGGTAGACTCTCGATTATCCATGCTAATGACGGGGAGGACATCCGCGGATATTGCTAAATCGCGGATAATCCAAACACATCGATTTTTTTGCGGACTTCTGTGCCAAAACAACACTAATATTAGGTATAAATTATGTTTAAGTTAAGAAAATTTAGTTTGTTAATGAACTAATACGATCGATGCGCGTGCTCAGTCACTTTCCTGCTTCAGTGCAGAAGACTGCCCACCAAGTGGATGACGGCAGAGCCACAGCCAATCAACATCAAACTCGGCCCACTAAGTGGATAACGGCAGAGCCACAGCCAATCAACATCAAACTCGACCCACTAAGTGGATGACGGCAGAGCCACAGACAATCAACATCAATCAAACCCTGCCACCCACGGTTGTAAAGATGTGGCAATTACTGTACTGTGGAGGTGACCACTTGGATTTCGGATTAACCGGAGCACACATTTGCTCGTTTTAAGCACCGTATGACTTGCAATAAACATTTACAAGAATAACAATCTTGTATAATTGTTTTTAGATTATTAATTTGGGCTTGAGGAAAAATCCACAAGTTGTTGATTTAAGTCAATCTCAGGTGCGCGGTTAATCCGCAAATCGGATAAGCCACACGCTGATAATCGAGAGTCTACTGTAGTAGTATAGTGTAGTGTATAGTGAAGTGTATAGTAGTGTATAGTGTAGTGTATAGTGTATAGTGTAGTGTGTAGTGTATAGTGTAGTGTAGTAGTGTATAGTGTAGTGTATACTGTAGTGTATACTGTAGTGCATAGTAGTGTATAATATAGTGTATACTGTAGTGTATAGTGTAGTGTATAGTAGTGTATAGTGTAGTGTATACTGTAGTGTATAGTTTATTGTATAGTAGTGATTCTAAACGCGGAGGGAAAACCCGTAGGATCTGGGGCACTGGTACTGTAGTATGAGTATCGTACCAAGTACACACACACACTATATGTATATAAATGCATAAGTGACTATCACGTGCAGTGTGTAGTAATGCTACGTTCACACGGCGCATTTTAAACTAATCCGTGTTGAACCCTGCCCTGTACCGGAGTACTAGTAATGGTACTACACTACTCCAGTACAACACCCTCACACTATAAATATAGAAGTGACTTTCTGGTGTAGTGTTTGTAGCAAGGCTACGTCCACATGCTATGTATTCGTCTAAAATCACGAGAATATAAATTACTGCCTGGGATGGCCTTCCTCGTGTCTACTGAAAATGTGTTAAAGAGCTTTATAGCTCATCGGATTCCTGTATAAATCAATGTTTTGATTGTCGTTGCGCCTTACGGGAAAATAAAAACTACAAACTAAACTGGACTGATGGGTAAATGGGTGCGCGAGTGAGCGGTCGGGCGAGTGAATGGGTGATTGGGTCAGTGAATGAGTGTCTGGCTGAGTGAGTGGGTGAGTAGTGAGTGAATAAATGATTGGGTCAGTGAATGAGTGTCTGGCTGAGTGAGTGGGTGAGTAGTGAGTGAATGGGTGATTGGGTCAGTGAATGAGTGTCTGGCTGAGTGAGTGGGTGAGTAGTGAGTGAATGGATGATTGGGTCAGTGAATGGGTGTCTGGCTGAGTGAGTGGGTGAGTAGTGAGTGAATGGATGATTGGGTCAGTGAATGAGTGTCTGGCTGAGTGAGTGGGTGAGTAGTGAGTGAATGGGTGATTGGGTCAGTGAATGAGTGTCTGGCTGAGTGAGTGGGTGAGTAGTGAGTGAATGGATGATGGGGTCAGTGAATGAGTGTCTGGCTGAGTGAGTGGGTGAGTAGTGAGTGAATGGATGATTGGGTCAGTGAATGAGTGTCTGGCTGAGTGAGTGGGTGAGTAGTGAGTGAATGGGTGATTGGGTCAGTGAATGAGTGTCTAGCTGAGTGAGTAGTGAATGAATGGATGATTGGGTCAGTGAATGAGTGTTTGAGTGAGTGGGTGAGTAGTGAGTGAATGGGTGACTGGGTCAGTGAATGAGTGAGTGAATGGGTGGCTCAGTGAATGAGTGGGTGAGTGGCACAGGCTGGAGAAGAGAGTGGGTGTGTGAGT